GTGACCCCTTCTCTCTATCCTTCCAATATAGATGTTCCAGCTGGTGACCCCTCCCCATACTGCCTGTATAGATGTTCCAGCTGGTGACCCCTCCTCTCATACTTCCAATATAGATGCTCCAGCTGGTGACCCCTCCTCTCTATCCTTACAATATAGATGTTCCAGTTGGTGACCCCTCCTCTCATACTTCCAGTATAGATGTTCCAGCTGGTTACCCCTCCTCTCATACTTCCAGTATAAATGTTCCAACTGGTGACCCCTCCTCTCTATCCTTTCAGTATAGATGCTCCAGCTTGTGACCCCTCCTCTCATACTTCCAGTATAGAAATTCCAGCTGGTGACCCCTCCTCTCTATCCTTCGAATATAGATGTTCCAGTTGGTGACCCCTCCTCTCATACTTCCAGTATAGATGTTCCAGCTGGTTACCCCTCCTCTCATACTTCCAGTATAAATGTTCCAGCTGGTGACCCTTCCTCTCTATCCTCCCAGTATAGATGCTCCAGCTAGTGACCCCTCCTTTCTATCCTTCGAATTTAGATGCTCCAGCTGGTGACCCCTCCTCTCTATCCTTCGAATTTAGATGCTCCAGCTGGTGACCCCTCCTCTCATAGTGTTAGTATAGTTGTTCCAGCTGGTGACCCCTCCCAATAGTACCTGCACAGATGTTGCAGTTTGTGTGTAGGGCACCCCTCCCCATACATAAGGATGTGTAAAGAACTGAAAACACACTATGTTTATCTCCATTCTACCGTAACACAATGACAAAACCAACACGAACTCTGTGGAAATGATTAGAGATGTGGCGTCGGTTGAGACTAATATTCTCTGTGGGTTGAAAGGCAAATTCAGGGATCAGTAGTGATCGGGTTTAATCTGCGTGTATGTTTGCTTTCATGTACCGAAACCACGACGCTGACCATAGAACCACTTCAAGGAGACACAATAAAATCACGTAGGCAAACATCCTGTGAGCATTATTCCAAATGACATCCCCAGAGAAAATGAAACGACCTTTATAATCTATTATGACGTCAAAACATTCTCCAGGACGTCTGAGCATTGTGACGCGATTGACATTACGTGAAGGATTAACGTCAAAACAGCAAGCCGTGTGTTTTCATTGTCTTTTTCAATACACTATCTGAGTATTGTTCGTTGAGTGTTTCACTTGAAACATATTGCCATGCTTGCTGTAAATAATGAAGGCCCCAACACGTTATTGACAAATGTCAGCGGACTGAGATCGGCATTTGAAATTGCCAAACGGGCTGGTTTGCGAAATTGCTTCCCTGCAAACATTTTCTTTTGCGGCAATAAGCGAATCAGGAAAACCATGGTCTAACGTAGATTCAACAGCATGGACGAAATAATGGAAGCGAATTCAATTGTTAAACATATGATTAATCGGGTATCTAATTACATTTGATCCTTCAAATCTAATGTGCCTTTTCATTAAAAACACCTGCATCGAGTTGTCCTTAGCCTACGCATTGATGCATATCACAATGGCTGCCGATAACCCATTAGAATTCATACTCGTGATATCAGACACACAATTACATAAATCCCAACCTAAGTAATATGTCTGGGCCATACAATCAACGGCCACAAAACGGAGCAGTCTCTCAGACGCCGCGTCTTCACGTAAGACAGGGACTATTCAGATTTACTTCTTGTTGGTTCCTATGGCATGGTGGTGGTGCCGGGGGACCATTTCTCCAGGTTAACTGGGATGTCTATAACTCGCTGGTTTATAAGTACAACTTCAAATAACTAACACTGGTTTAATGTTACTTGAAACATACATTACGCATTTGTCCGTCCTATGTCTATGATTTGTCACTCAAACATTGAAGATGTCATTTTGATTTCCAAAACATGACTTGGAGTCCAAGCACTGCAGGAAACCAATGGTTGCATCGAAATTAGATGTCTTAGGAAGGATATTTCATCAATCACTCCTGGAAATGTTTGTACTTTGTAATCATAATTCGGACCTTGTCAAAATTATAAGCAACACATTCTGCACTTGAGACATATCTATTAAGTAGGTCTCAAGTTGACCCTTTTCGGTATGTTGTAAAATTGCTTGAAGTGGTCTCACCATCTGGAAGTACGTGGTCTCTTACACACAGCTGAGTGCTCGGATACAAAATATAAAAACAGAAAATCTAACATACTGTAGAACCGAGTATACGTTTACATGACAGTAGACGTATCTCAATTTGAACCATCAGAGTGCGGGGCTCTCAAATGCTATGTTAACATGGGCGATTATACCACTGATTCCAAATGTACTGTGAACAGGTAATTCAGATAATATATTAATTAAACGTATAATTCATAAACGTCTGTATTCACAATTACACTATCTTTATTCCATTATTAATTGAAATACTGTTTTATTAGCTATAAAGATGGTTGAATTGTTGCATTTCCTTGTTAATAATTCACATTTTCTCCAAGAACAAACAGTAACATTTCCTATTAAGAAGAGTGTCAATACATAGGCACCTTGTAGTCTCCCAGTTTCAGCATGACTAAGCTTCATCACTGTTCACTTAACAGAACCATTCGCTTCAAGTCTATAGTCCTTTCTACATCCGGAGTGTGATACACTAATATGATACTCTGCTTCATCATAACAACACGCGTTACATCTGAGGAGGCAATCGAAGAAGACCTGTTCAAGGAGACGAGCGACCAGAGATGAAAACTGAAAGAAAATGTCTATTGATGATCTGTGAGCTCCTTCGCTGGTGGGTCTGTGGCATCACCCGGTATTCATCCTATGTTGAGAGCTGCTTGATGGTGAATTTTGCCGTTTTACATCGTGTTTCGTCATTTAGCGTGCTTGTCCATGTCAATAGAGTGTCGAGCCCAGCTCCAGCAGTATTGATTGGCGTGGCAGTCGCGTCTCCTACCTCTATGAACGGCTTCTCAAGCTTAAAAAGCCAGTCAGCGGAAAGAAGCTGAACACCAAATGAAAAAGATTGTTTGCAAAGTTGGGAGTGTTTATCAGGTGTTATCCAATGAGCTAGTGTGTTTTTCCAGGCCAGTTGAATCAGCCCGTCACGCCAGCGGAAGTCAGAGCCTTGGCTTCCGGCGTATGACTTACACGCTCTCACAGGAAAGCACACAGGCTTGAAAAAGAGTTTTTCATTAGCATCAGCAGTGTTCAAACACGAGTCTAGTCCCCGATGCAAATATAAGAAATTCATAAGGACATGTTCAATGTTTACATGTTGAACAATGTGTACATACAGCCTTTCCTGTGTGAAATATTGAAAGTGGATCTCATGTCTCAGCTTATACAAGAAAGAAACTGGGTAGATATTTGTAAAACTATTCTTGACTCTTGTATGAACTATACATTAAAACGGTATCAAAGCATATTAAAACTATAATGTGGCACAACCAACTGACAGACTGTGACGGTTTGCCTAATTAACAGTATTTAATGTTCGGAACTCTCCGTGGTCAGGAATGGCGTACGAGTTGCCTATCTTAGTGCTGCACTTTGAACACCCTGCTTTGTCAGTCTCATACCTTTCATGTCCTCAACAGAGAGGTAAACGTCTTTGTCAAGCATTACTTTCCCCCACAAGCTGACAAGCGAAATACTCCAGTTCGCTTCAGCTCGTTAACCAACATTAAATGATATGTTTCTGCTTCCCATCTGAACCTCCAGAGGGTGGTCCATTGTGTGGAGTTTCCAAACGTATAAACTATGTATTGTTGATAACAGGCGTTCGCAAAAAGGTGAACACATGGTGCCCAACCACTGGAAACCGTTAATTGTCCATATGAAGACCCGCGGGAACATGGTGCAAGGCCTCAGTAAGGATATCAAGAAGTGTCCATGTGAACATTTCCCAGTGAAAAAAATAATATGGACATCCGGGTTAGAACCTGTCTTCAGCAACCCATGACTGTTGTAAGAGGTGCTCGTCAGGCTCGCTGACAAGGTGGATGATTGGCATTGTATCTAAAATGTCGAGACCGATGCTTATGATGTGAATTTCATAAACGGATTGCCTATGACTTTCAGATCATAGTCATGTGCGATGTATCTGGAATAGAGAGGAGCGGTGTTAAACAACAAATAAACACATCATTCACAGGAGCAGCCTGCCATGTTCCTTCCTCAGAGGGCCCGAGGGTCCTTTCTGTCTCGAGCAGGTTTCATTAAATGAAATCTTATTTCTTCACTTGGTGTTGCTGAATTAACCATTACAATCGATACTAATTTCTTTGGATTTCTCATTCTAACTCATTTAGGGACACTTCTTTTTAGAAAGATCTTGTGAACTAGATATATGTTCTTGACTATCAACAACCAAGGATGTCACCCACGAAATCTGACGAGATTTCGCGTTGTTTTCTTATACGATCACACACTTAAAATTCAATTATTACCTCTTTGGTGGAGGCCATATTTAGAAACCTTAAGAAAGCATAGAAGTAAGATGTCTGTAATCTCATTGAAACGACCAATCAAAGCACCTGGGCAAAGCAAAGGGGCACTACAGTTTGTTGACGTTAACATCCATCGCTATTACTCTTCAATTTAGACACACTAACTTATTTAACCTTTTGACATTCCCTGGTTCATCCCCGACGTCCTCGTCGGTGTCTACACACTACTTACACTGTCATCCCTGGCTGCTTCCGGTTTCACGGCAGCTTATTAGTCTTCGGTACACTGACTGGTCTGTGATCGAATCTTACCTCATTAGTCAGTTGGCTACTGTACTGATACCAGCGCTTCCTAACACGCTCCAATTACCTACCTAGGGTTCCCACCGATTCTCATGTCGTCCTCAAAAGGGCGATAACTCGCCCTAGTAATAAAATTGATTCCAGAATATTATCAGGATGTAGACTTTAATTGCCGCTCGTTTTCCTACCAATCCTCTGAAGAGCTCTTAAAAGGGACCTAAGCGTAGTGGGACATGCGCGGTCAATATCGTCTAAATTGTGCCTTTTCTTTTGGCAGGCTGTTGGCCCTGTGAGCAACACACCAGAAGTAGTAGTGTTGCAGTGGTGACTGTGCTACAGCGTGGAGTAAAGCAGGGCGGCTCGGACTTGCTGCTGTGTTACTGTGGACTTAATATTCGCCAACACAACAACGTACAAGTCCTCATTGAAGAAGGAGCTCAATAAGGTAGGAACATCCAGCGTTGGCTTCATGTCAATAGTCGTACTTCTTGTGCAGGCAGCCATTCCAGGAACATGTGATTTGAATACAAATATTACAGTGTTACTGAACGTCTTGAGCAACACAGTCAGTGTGACACCTGAAGACATGGGTACATGTAGTTCTACAGTCTGACACACATATACTTCCTGCTGATCCTCCGTGGTATGGCGACATCTAACGTTTACATGGAGGATGTTTATTCTACAAGGTAAAGTACACGCCCGGTTTAATTTTCTAGGGGTTAACATTACGGTTAAATTTAGCAATAACTCGGTTCAATACTAAGCAACATGCATTCCGTTTCCTGCTAACAAGACGCTTCCAGTTGTTGGCGTCAGTACAAATGACAGATTATCGGCGCTTTCTCAGACGACCCTCATGCCGGGGGAGATCAATACAGCTTTCAATGAATCAAGGTCAGATATAGGATTTTCGCGATTTTTACTTAAAGAAGTATCGGAATTAGTCTGCAGGAAAACAGGGCAAAACGACATTGGTCAGTTTCTACCCATTCCCAATATACGTAAAACGGAGTGTTTATCCTCAGTGGTTTGACGAAAAGGAATTAAGAAGCAATATACTGTGTTGATTTACAATCAATATCTTCTGATGCTGGATTACGTCCTGGGATTTGCTGCTGCTGCTGGAGGGGCTTGGTTTAACATCTCTTGATTTGCCATAGCTTTTTGTGCTTTCGTTAACTGTTCCCTGTTATCCAGTACTTCTCATGGGTATTTTGCTAAGAATTTTGAATTCCTTTAAATGCCTAGAGGATTTCAATTTCCATCACAATCTAGTTAAGCTCTTCTTCAAACCAATTGATTGCATGTTAAGTCAATAATCACCGCTCTGGTACAAAGGACATTTCCATGTGAAACAATTTACAGGAATTAGATTAACATGAAGCAAAGAATGCAGATAAGCCTAAGCAAGACGCAAGACGTACACAATATTTTATTGAATTACGTTGCCAGATCCCATTTATTCATTTGCTTCCAATGGATGCAAGATCAAATTCATCAATTCCCGTGCACCGAAGAAGGCACAAGGAACTGAAGCATGGTATATGACGACATTCATGTACTAATCGATTGATATACATCGTGTAAGGGAGGTCCGCTTCTTTATATATCCCATCCTGATGCAGCATTTGTAATACATTATAGATCATAAGCCATAATTGTAGTAGGGAAAGCGATCGATAGTAACGGGATTTACCTTATGACCTTATGAAATATGAATCACAAACTTGCACCAGTTTCTTTGTCTCTTATGTCTTGAATCTTTTATCAGTATATATTTTTCAAGTAGCGTAGCGTTCATGGGTTGTATTTTCGTAAGCATTATTAAATATATCATTGAGACAAAACCCTTTACATAACAATGTAATTTCTGAGATTATATCATAAGCATGTGTTTATGATTCACTATCAGTACATGGCGATAATAGGCAGCATCTCCTACTGAACTGGCTGCATCCGTCACAAAATATATATCTTCGACACCACAGAAAAATCACTCCACCGAAATAAATACTGGTAGTAAACTGCAAAACAGTAGTGAACGCCTTGTGATTCGATGACTGAAAATCAATAACGACACCAGGTGTTTGAAAACAAGATAAGCATTTGACACATGTGACACAGGCAATACACATACAATCTTATGGATATATACCTGCAAATATATCACATAATGTTCACTAGACCCAGATAAAACAGGCCATAGCTACCATAAATATAAAAAAAGCCGGGGCTTACACATGATTTGTGCCTTAAAAAAACAATTCTTGCCAAAAATACCTCAAATACTATCTACATATAAAGCTTTGCAACCTATCGGGCTTACACGAAACAATTGGCTTGCTACGCGCCTGTCAAACATTGCCAATCAGATGTTGCATCATATTGATATTTGTTGCCCAAAGAAGGACCAATAAAGTGACTATTATTTCTTGTTTTTCTATTGAACTGTTACTTGCAGACAATTTTTAATTCCGTATATTTTATATTCTATAATTCAAAACTGTTTCCTGTTTATATACTTTATTCCTAAGCTTCTGTCACATTTGACAAAAATTGATATAGTGTTTGTTATCTATTGTAATACATGTACACGGTTCATGTTACCTCGGGGATGTCATTACTAGACACGTTGACATTACAGCTTCAACACTGCAATGATTGGCCATCTTCCTGACAACAGTAGAAACTAGCGTAGTGCATTATAAGTGACAACATAGTTTTTGTGTGTACATACACGTATTTACATGGGCGAATCATTTGCAATAGTTTGGGGAAAATGTAAAAAGAACGGTATAATTATTGTTTTATGAAATGAAAACACGCAGCATACTTAACGGACCATGTGGTTAAAGAACGGTTTGTAGTGCGACAAAAATATCACATGTTCAGAAATAATTATTTCTGAAAAAATTAAAACATTTTGAGAAATGGTTACTTCAAAAACAATTATTTGTAAATGTATTTTGCGTCGTATTAATGTTCTTGGCAATGTGCACAATGGCCCGCCACTCAGATACACTGTTTCAGAGGGATGGCTCTACCAGCACCGGGTGTCCTCTATACTGGCCACAGAGGGGAACGCCCTTGACATTGTATAAAACTGGTATATTATAGAACTACCTGCAAATGAATGAGTACGGTATGTTTTGGAAAACGTTAATCCCATGAGGATTACCGTAGCTTGATGTGATATTAGATTAATTAACTACACATGGAAGTGTATTGTACTGGTGATAGGGTTCAGCGGATCACGCCTCAGGTTAAAGACGGACGTTCTCTACAGGAACCCTTTCCGGTCCTGTCGACAAATGTCTCTTAACACGCATGCGCACAGCAGGTATATCCGTCTGTTGTCTACCAAACCGCACGATTCTCATGCTTGAGTCTACTGATTTGACTGACGTCAAAGGCGTTTTGAAAAGGAGTCTTTAAGAGTGGAAAATAAGTCCTAGATTCTTAGAGGTGTTGCTTGGCTTACATTCAAAGCAATCGCAGAGTTTCACTTTCTTTCAGTTTTCAGTTAAGGTCTGCAGTTGTATGACACGATGATGTATATCTGCCTCCTCAAGTAGAGATAGCTGTGACGGTGTGTACCAAGTGGTATGTCATAAAGCACCCTTCCACCTATATTCAAAAAGTGGCGTCTGTTCCCTGTTATACCGAGGTGGGTACAGAGTAAAGATGTATATCTATATATTGTAGCTACTTGCACACAAAGGTGGTGCATATATGTCTCATTAAGCAACGTAGGAGTAGGTCAGCCTTTCCAAAAGACACTTTTTTTTTAGATAAGGGACAGTTCATAATTTATGGCTGGGGTGGTGGTGGGGAGGTGGTGGGTGAGGTGGGTGGTGGTGGGTGAGGTGGTGGGTGAGGTGGTGGTGAGGTGGGGAGGTGGTGGGTGATGATGATTTCTATAGAGAAGCATGCACAGTGTGATCACACTCACCTAGGGTCTATAGCAGTTACATTTCACAATTGCTAAATAATTTAGAATGCTCAAGTTCGAATAGTTCCCTCGGGGTATTTCTTTACACCTCGCTAACTACGTACGTTAATGTGTAAATACCCTGTTGAATCTGATCCTGTGTCGGTGTTCTGGCGAAGCATCATTGCTAGGTATTTCAGAGGTACATACTTGAAGAGACATACAGTATCCGTCATCAATTACACATTGTCATGTTGTGTCTCAGCTCCATGTCAAAGGATAACCCTTTCGGAGACATTATCCGTTCCATTACATCGACTGACAGGACAGATACAGACATGAGAGATGGATACACGTATCTTCAGGCATCAATGGTATCTCCAATATCTGTCAAGATGAAGCCAGTGTCACGTGTATAGATTTAACATGAAAGTTTTCTTGCTAAGGTGGGTCAAGGAAGCTATAACGGCTTGTCTGGAAAACAATCCACTAATTTACCGTTCACAACTCACCAGCATCGTAGGTATACTGACAGTGTTGTTAAATGGCCTTGAATAACAGTAACTACACCAGTTTCAACCAACATTCAATCATTAAGTGTGTCAACAATGTAATAAACTGGTTTGGTTGGGAAGATATAGTGAACATATATTTTATTTATAACCTAGACTACATAGATCTCGAAGGCTGCCTATCACACACACTGTGCATGGTAATCTGACTTTGCTCGCGGGGTGTAGTTTTGTAGATAATGATTGCTGTAAAATGACGGTTTTGTCTAATGCTCTCCATGCACGTAGGGCAATATACTGCAGCAGTCCCATGCCTGCACAGCCGGAAACATGATCTACACAGTCGCCATCACTGATGCCATCTTCAAGACAACCACGCCAAGGACCAACAAATTAAACTCTATAATACGCATAACTATCATCATCATTTATTGATTGCATGTACTGACCGCTGTACTTCAACTGAGTCGCCGATAAAGGAAGAAACCACTTCTGTTCTGTTTTCCTTAGGGGCGGTTTGATAGCCTAGTGCTGCAAGCATTCGCTCATCACGCCGAAGGCTCGGTTCGATTCGACACATGAGTACAATTTGTGGACCCTATTACTGTTTCTCCTGCCATGGTATTTCTGGAATATTGCTGAAGGGGGTGTAAACCTAAACTGTTTCACTGAGTCTTCTAATATCTGTATCCATTCTTATATCTACTTCCTTCACCTGTTTTAACTAAAACCCAGTGTGTTGTATCAGCCTACTGTCAAGGCCCTCCATGTTGGACATAGGCGTGTTCAGCCTACTCTAATTACGCCGTCTCTGCTGCTGATGTAATGGAGTCATCAGTTGGGATGAGGATTGATTGATGGGTGTATTACATAATAAATTACAACTAGACTCCTTATTGATATTATGTCAGCTGTTCTACATAAACCCTGATATATGTATATAAAGAAATTCACGTAATAAGCACACTGCACGAATGGTTATCCTGCATTTCAGTGTTA